GCCTGTGCCTTTTCCCCCAGCCTGATTTAACGATTAATGAGCCGATCGAAGCTGTATTAATTAAAGGCTCTGGGGGGTTCACTCTATAAACCCCCGTCGCTGGAAAGGAACAAGATTTATTCCAAGCTGGAAAAGGCTCTTGCTGCAGTAACACTCCGCTGTTTCGGCACAGCAAAACCTCATTTTGCAAAGAGTAAGATGGCGTGGCGCCCTGCTAGGCCAGCAGAAACGCCAGGCACGAGCCGGCGCCCCCCTGGACCGGCTGCAGCAAGGCCTTTCGCCGACCCCAGACGACCCGGGTGTACGCCCAGCACCCGGGACGGGCTGGGGAGAGAGGGAGAGAGAGGGAGAGAGAGAGAGAGGGAGAGAGAGAGGGAGAGAGAGAGAGGGGGAGAGAAAGAGAGGGAGAGAGGGAGAGAAAGAGAGGGAGAGGGAGAGAGAAAGAGAGAGCGAAAGAGAGAGAGAGAGGGAGAGAGGCGCTCTTACTGGGTGTGGGTCAGCGCGTGCTGCTTGAGGTCCTGGCGGCGCATGAAGAGCCGGTCGCAGTGCTCACACTTCAGGTCCCGGGCGCCCGTGTGGATGATCATGTGGGAAGCCAGGTGGGCCTTCTGGGTGAAGGACTTCTCGCACACCGAGCAGCGGTAGTTCTTCTGGCCTGCGGGCGCAAGGGGAGGACCCACCGGTCAGGAAGGAAGGCAGGGGGATTGATCGAACGCTAGCAGCCGTGTCCCCCTGCAGCTCCCAGCTGACACACCCCACTGGAGCCCAGCAGGGGTGAGCCTGGCCAGTACCTGGAGGGGAGACTCCAGCTGAGGCTGCTGCTGGGAGAGGTGTGAGTGGGGCCAGCAGGGGTGCTCTTCTCGACAAGAGTAGGGGTGTTACCCCAGTGTCCTGGCCAAATTTCCCCCCTAGCCTTTACCCCTCATGGCCTCCTAATAACCCCCCTCTCTGAACTGGCTCCATCCCTCTGCTCTCCTCCCCCCTGAGAGCTGGTGTGTGGGGACCGTGGTCTTTGCAGCACAGCGGGGTCCCCCACTATCTTGGGGAAGCGGTGCTCTGTCTGCAATTGAACCCCTCTACCACCAGGGGGCAGAGTAGAACTGCGCTTGTCGTTTTCAATAATAATCCCTTACAGTTATTCAGAGCTTTTCTGGACCCTCCACTCGGAGCTCTTTCCAGGTCAGGGGGGATCCCACTACCCCCACCAGTGTGCAGCCCCACCTGGATGATGCTCCAGTCCTCTCCCACACAC